GATCATTAATTGTTATAATTAAGAAAACAACAAACTCTTATTTATTTATATACGACCATCTGCTTTAATTTCAACGAAATTCTCAGCTGAGTTTGACAATTAATATGTTATAGTTCCACCACAATCGTTCCCACAAAGCTCAATTATATTTAACAAGTTGGTACCACTAGATAATGTAAATTATTTCCTTCTAATGATTATAATTAACATGCTATATCGTCACCATTATTTTTGGTTTAGTGCTTTCCTTTTGATCATATATATATAGTGCACGGTGAACCCCATAATATAATATTTACTAGAGATGTTTATTTTTTAAAAAAATAATTTAAGCTTAGTAATGGAGATCAAGTGCTTACAAGTGTGTTAAGATGGGGACAATCTCTAGTGTAGTATACTTTGTTTTTTTTATCATTTAATATTTCAAAATGATGTTAAATTGAGTGCTCCATTAATTAATACTCCCTCCGTTCCTTATTATAAGAGACGAATAACCGAATTACGTTGATCAAAAAAATAGTTAAAATTAGTTAAGAACAATTAATATGTAAAAAGTATAATTTTTTTTTCAAAAATGCCCTTATTAATAAGGAGAGAGAACAATGGTAATTTATTAAAAGAAAGAGAAGTGGGAAGGAGAGAGAGTGTGAATTGGAGACAATAAATATGGGTAAAATAGGAAATCAACACAAAAAAGTAGAGACAACTTTTAAGTGTCTTTTATATATAGGAACATGCCATAAGCATCAAATGTCTCTTATAATAAGGAACGGAGGGAGTAGTACAAAAGGGGTCCATGCAACTTGCCCATACAAGCTAAGTATGGAATTCTATAAAAGTGAATGAAGCTACTTAATCACCTTTGATTTACTAATTAATAAACATGTACCGAAAGCAATCCGTATTTCATATTATAATTAAGAAGAATACTCAAATTGAATCATTAATACCATTAGAGTACTAAAGTAAGGTGATGCTAATGGCAAAATATTTAAATGATTGGGATGCATTTAATATATATATCATTCATGGGCATAAAATATAGTCTTACTTAACAAAAGCATATATTTAAGGAATAGACTAATGAGGTCAAATGAGGGAATCTCATTCAACCCAGTGATCATAATTTGTGTGTGTGTGGGTGAGTGAGAGAGAGAGAGAGAGAGAAGGAGGGGATCTGAAGCAAGATATATAATTTTGTTTATTTATGATAAATTCAATTATTTACATTAACCTAAATTGTTATGTACACACTAATATTGACGCATTAATTATATCAATATTGATGTTTGAGATAGTTTTATAGGCAAGGATTTGCATCACATTATGTCAATAGACACTAATAATAATTTATTTTATATATTCATAAGTTATGACTAGTGCAATTCTTTTCTCAAATTCTATGTAACGTAACGTATATAATTCATTAATTTTGTTTGAATAACCCAATGTTGATTAACTATGTGGAGTTATATTAGCTCTTTAAAATCTTCAAGTACAACCTAATTAGATAGCTTTTGAAAAATTAGTGTTAATTGCATAGATTGAAAAGGTGTTGGAAGGAAACTTATACAAAAAGTGGCTCCATAAGTTTTTCAAATATATTCTACTTCTTTTGACAACAGATATATTCTATTTACTCCCAAGGTAGAGTTAAGATCAGATCATAAAGATTATAGATACTTGGATTATAGATACTTGAAGTCTAAGCATAAAAGGATATATGGAACTGAAAGAAACAATTATATACTAACGGCTTTCGGTCCTTAATGTAAGAGTTTATTTGACTTTCAGTTTGGTTCTAAATATAAGACATCAATCCACTTTGTCTTTCATACTTATTCATTTTTTCTAAAATAGTCCTTATAGTAGTTGGATATGTTAAATGTTTTATCAAATGGTAATTCCAGCTAATATATATGGTTAGTAAGGGTATTTTAGGAAAAATAATGCATATTTATAACAAATGAGTAATTTAACTAATTTTCTTAATTAATCTCTCAAAATTAATCAACTGGATCTTGTATTAAAGATCGGAGGAAGTAATAACTAGCTAAATTTTTGCTTAACCTTCAATTAGAGTGATTAATTTGTTAATCGTGGTTCATTCGCTTGCACTTTTCATTTTGTTATATTCTTAATGTGATAATTGTCATATACATAAACTTCAAGTTTTTCATGTTAATTAGCTGTCTCTGTGATGTTCTTAATATGGTAATTTTGTAATTAACGAGTCAACTATGTGTTAAACAACTTTAGTTAGCTAGTCTTTCTCTTCTGGCATTTATTTAATGTAAATGGTATCTCTTGAGAGGAGAGTATACGGTAAAAGAGGAGGGCTGTAATGACTTGCAAATGCCCCGTTTAAACTTGGAAATTATAGTTAAAAAAAGGTTAATACAATTTTTTCTCCTTAAATTTGCTGTCAATTTGGTTTTAATTACTCAAATTTTAAACTATAGATTTTAGTTCCTTATAAAAAATCTATAGTTTAAAATTTGAAAAACTAGAACCAAAATAAGAATAAATTTATGAGTTACAAAAAATTATATTAATCCTGAAAAGAATATTGAGGTATAATCGCTCTACAAAATAAAATGAGAGAATAAAAAAAGTTTAAATTTTAAAATTTCAAATTAGTCTAGTTTGCTGCACTTTAATAACAATTAACAACATTTGAAAAGTTGTATAATTATTCTTGATTTGAAATTTTAAAATTTTAGAGGTATTTTTTGATATTTTTTCAAATAAAATCTACATATAACAATGACATTTTCTTGAAAGGTCAAAACACACATATGTACAATAAGATTAACTTTATTATCCAGCTGTATATGTAATATCAGTGTCTAGTTTGCCCAACTACTTCTTTATATGTAGTTATATACAGTACTACTTCCGATCCTTAATATAAACCTTATTTGACTTTTATTTTGATCTTAAATATAAGACCGCAATCCATTTTGTCTTTAATATTTATGTATTTTTTTTAAGATAGTTCTTTTAACAATAGTAGTTCTAACCAATACACTTGATTAGTAAGGATATTTTAGGAAAGACAACACATATTTATTACAAATAACTAACTTAACTTTTTTTTAATTTTCTCAAATTAGTTAACTAGTTTTTATATTTAGAATTGGAGGTAGTATTATTAGTTTGTAGGCAACAGTACATGGATCTGCCGGACAAAAGGTGGAATCAATATTATTTATAAATTTAATTCTGAACAAATTATAACAAAGAAACGAGCTAGGCATGTTGACTTCCAATGGCCATGTTGACCTACTCTTAACCATAGCAATATACGAGAGTTCCACACGTGGACGCTTTTTACGTTGGTATCCCAGCCCCACCTCTAACACAACTTGCTCTTTCAAAGCATGCGCGTGGCCCATTTCTCAATTTCTCTTCATTTTTTATATATCACAATTAAACTAACATAACTTCGAAAAAATTATATCCAATAAAATTCGTTCATTATTTTTCAAAACACACATTGGCATTATTCTAGTTAAAAATCCATAATGGCAACCCATTAAGATCTATAGTTTTTTTCCCCGAAAAACACACACACACAAAGATATATATATATATATATATATCTCTCTCTCTCTCAGGGAAGGTAGTGCACTGTAAATTTTAACACAATATTATTTTTAAACCGTAACTTTTAAATATATAAATTCTAAGTTGTTAGATCATATATGTATTGTAGCTGGTCTATGCACTAGCATATGCGAATACAATTTTTTTTCAAAAAATATAAATTTTTTTAAAATAAATTAATTATTCAATATAAATAAATAATCATATTATTGTTAATAAATTCACAATTCTTACTTATTTTATTTTTACATGTAACTAGAGTAGATTATACGCGTCTATCTCTTGCAGAGTCATACTATATATAAATTTATGTATTATATGTTTTTCTTTAAATTTTAGAGAATATAATAAATCGTATTATCTATAATATATGCCGAGTCATACTATATATATAATCATACAGTTCTTTGATTAGGAATGAAAAATTTTTATGAGTTGAATTTTAAAAAATGAAATATACAAGTAGAAAGTATTTAATTTATCTTTTCTTTTCCCATTTCCCTTTATAACCTCGCTTATTTGTTTCCTTAAATCCAACTCATTAAGAGATTATTAAGTGATTTCACATTTAGAATAAATGATTTTACATTCTGCAACATAAAAAAAAATATTTTTACATATTTATTTACTCTTTCTACACAACTAATTAATCAAAAATAGCATGGAGACGAATAAGACAAAAGTGAGAGAGGTATTTTAAGAATCAGTTTTGGTACTTATCATTTTGATAAGCACGCTAAACCCATCAGACCAGGAATGTTCATATTTCATTTGATTATTCCGAATTTAATTTGTTTTTTTATTTTTATTTATCTAAAATAATTATTTTAATATGTATAGAATTTAAAATAGAGATAATATCTTAATTATCATTCTTTCCAAAAATAATTTTTTATTTAAAAATAATTAATTAAATATTTTAAATTTAAACTACTCAAATTAGATATGAATCATTTAGATCTAATAAATTTACAGTACTCATCAAGATAATGAGTACTAAAACTGGTTCAACATATTTTATATGTGCGTACAAATGCAACTATATGAGGGCCATGAGCTATACACAAGTGATCTTATTTTTATAGGCTCCCTAGCTGCTATATAGGAATTTAGTATCTACGTTCGTGGCCACCTTACATTTCTTAACTTCAGAACCACTGTATAAATAGCCCGCGAAGTCCCAATTATGCCTACACCCCCTCCCATTTCTCTCTTCCTCACCATCTTCCTCAATTCTGCATTCTCTCTTCTCGCATACATATTAAAGGTATCATCTTCAACACTTCAACTGTATACACATAATATATATGCTTAATAATTCTCATTCACTATCAAAACAGTTTCTGAGGATCGATCAAATTTGTTCGGTGTTGCAGGTTTAATTTTTGACGATGAGTATCATTTCGGTGTCAGTGTGCAAAGTACAGCAAGCTTCTGTGAATTTCGAAAGGGGACTGCGTATGGATCCTTTCTTCCACCGCCACCGTAAGGAGAAGGTGGTCGTCATCATGGGAGCCACCGGCTCCGGCAAGTCCAAGCTTGCCATTGACCTGGCCACCCAATTTGCTCCCGCAGAGATCATTAATTCCGACAAAATGCAAGTTTATCAAGGCCTCGATATCACCACCAACAAGGTAACAGAACAGGAGTGTCTAGGTGTTCCTCACCATTTGCTTGGCGTAGCAGATCCCGACCTCGACTTCACCGCCGGCGACTTCATCCGCCACGCCTCCTCCGCAGTTGATTCCATCGTCGACAGACATTGCCTTCCCATCATCGCCGGCGGCTCTAATTCCTACATCGAAGCCTTAGTGAACCACCACGCTGAGTTTCAAACCAGGCTTGAGTTTTGCTTCCTCTGGGTCGACGTCTCGCTCCCGGTTCTCCACTCCTTCTTGTCGGACAGGGTCGACCGGATGGTCGAAGCCGGTCTGGTCGAGGAGGTTCGACAAATGTTCGACCCTTACGCTGATTACACGAAAGGGGTAAGAAAAGCAATCGGAGTTCCAGAGTTGGACCAGTTTCTGAGAGCTGAGTCGTCGTCGACGACGGACGAGAGGAGGAAGAAGAAGCTTCTTGAAGCTGCCATTGGTAGGCTGAAGATGAACAACTGCCGGCTTGCGAGCCGCCAGCTGCTAAAAATTCATCGGCTTCACGGCTTATGGAAGCGGAATATGCATCGGCTCGATGCGACGGAGGCGTTCATGATGAGGAATAAAGGAGAGGAATCGACGGAGTCGTGGGAGAATCAAGTGGTGAAGAAAAGCCGAAGGATCGTCCACAAGTTCTTGTACGAGGAAAGCCATATTCCGCCGGCGGTGTCTTCCAAACCTGTGATGAATGTGCCACCGCGGCCGCCGCCGTCTTCCCTGGTGGCCATGGCTACTGCAACTCATTAGAGGTGGTAGGGCCAGAGAATCTATACAAAGTAAAGGTCACTGACTCACCATTGACATGCCTCCGATCGATGATGACAGACATACATGTGTGTGTCTATATAATACATGTATATGTGTATAAATACGCACGCACATACACATACACATGGCACGATCAGTTTCGCATCTTAATTAACAGAATACAACGTTATAGGGATATAAAATTAAAGTTACACGATATTTACATTTATGCTTAAAGAAAAGCTTATCTAATGTATGGATTGATTTTTTTTTTTGGGTGACGTGTGTGGATTGAATTTTTGCCCTTATGGAGTTTGGGAATCTCTATAAACGGGTTATCAATTATTATATTGTTGATTTTTATTTGTTTTCAGTGACTTTTGACAGTAAAATCAATTTAATAGCTCAAATATATGGATTCCCGAATTAGTTGCTTTAATTTAGGTTTGTTTTCCTTGTAAAGTTCCAAATAAACGCTGTCCACGAAGCAACGATATTCGTTATTTCTCACATAGCAACGTTTAACTCCCAGACTCATTTGCGACAAAACTTATATTCAGATCAAATTCGTTAATTACCAATTGTTATTTTGTTATTATTAATCGTTGTAATAAAATACGCAAGTTCATTTGTAAATCTTTGTAATAACTGTTTTAATATAAATTAGGATCTTGTAAATTTTCATAGGAACACTAAGTGTATTTTATCATTAGTTGTTAAAATATATACGTATACTTGCTTTGGTTTAGCCAAAAAAATATATATGTGTGCTTATAAATTCATCTATGAAAATATGAACACTTGTTATTGCCTATGTGCACTTGTAATAAATTCACCTATGAGTATGAGCAGCTTCATCTAAGTTTTCCCGTTCATTGATTATCCTTAAACTTGTATGCAAATTCACTCTAGTACAGCATAAAATACAATACCCCTCTACTCATTAATGTATGACCTAATTACAGAGTTGACATTGGTATTATATGTAAGACCTATTTTATATATTTATCAATTTTTTTTCAAACTAAGTACTTTATTGATATTTTTCTAACAATAATCAAGTGGGAGAGGAGGGAGAGAATTAAGATAAATATTTAGGGCCTTTTAGAAAAACATATCATATTAACTAATTTAACTAACATCTTTAATATATTCAAATTGGTTAATTAAATTTTACATTGAGGACATAAGGAGTATATCCGCAAAGAACAACGATTTTAAAATCTTGTGTACGTACGTACGTCCGGCGTCTTTGATATATAGATCAACTATATGAATTAAATAATAATTTATAAATATTAAAAATTAGTTGAGTTACTTATTTATAAAAATATGTGTTGATTTTTTAAAATATTCTTTTTAATTATTTTTTTACAGGAAATTACTCTTTTAATAGAAAATTCATTTAATATATGCAATTATTTAGAAGAGTTTAGAAAAAGAATTATAATTTTAGAAGACAAAGTGAATTAATATATTACATATAGAACCAAATTAAAACAACATCTGACCTTAATTAACTCGTATATTTAGAACTGGGACTATAGTATTTTTGAAAAAAGATAGTCTTAGACATGTGCAGTGAGATTTTAATTCATTAAATAATTTATATATTATTGTCAAAGATTGTCTGATTGATAAAAACTTGACTCTCATAACTCACAGATATAATAATTTATAGGAATCCAATTTACTTAATTATTTTTTAAAAAATAAAAAAATATGTATATTAACATCTGCTTAAGGATAATCATAAACATCACACATACGTTAATCATGCGTATATGGTCCAATCCAATTTGATTCAACTTGAATTAGTTGAGACCTAGAATAATTTTGAGAAGCCAATTGATTTTTAAAAAAAGAGAGAGAGAGAAGAAAAATTGGAGAAAAGTTCCTGCTGAAAATTTTATTAGTGAGAAGAACTTAAATTAGAATATCAGTACTCTGTATGCAATGGTTATGTGAATTATAAACATATTAATAATCGTTATATATAAGAGTAATAGATTCGGGCTTGTTTGAAATAGCTTAGAAGTAGTTTATATAGCTTTTCAATATAATTTACAGAATACGAGATAAACATATGAGATGAGTTTTGTTTTTGGCTTATGTAAGTGTGCTTATTGATCATGAATCCAAACAAGCTGAAGTATTTATCACCTTGCCTATCTCTCTTCATTTAGATGAATTACTCCTGATCCCTAATATAAGACATATTTAACTAATTTGATTAGATTAAAAAAATTAAGTAAGTTAGTTAACTATAATAAATATGATATGTTTTTTTAAAATACTTTAATCATCTTCATCATATCGTCCCTCCATTTTACGCTTGATTATGGTTGAGGGAGTATCAATAGGCGTGATTTGGGAAAAATTGATAGATATAAGAAATAAGTCTTATATTTAGGACCAAAATTAACTCTATAATTAGGTCTTATATTAAGGACCGGAGTAGTATATGTTAAAATGAAAACCTTCCATGTAAAGAATATACAATGATGAGTAATAAATTTAGGTTTATTTGGAATGACTTATATATAAGCAACTTTTCAACTATGATTTGCTGAATACAAGATAAATATATAAAATGAGTTTTGTCTTGATTTATATAAACATATTTATTGATCATGAATTGAAACGAGCCGAAATGTTTATCACTTTGCCTATGGCTAAAATGAAAACCTTCCATGTAAAGAACATATATTGAAAATGGAAATAAATGGACGGAAAGGCAAATCCATACCTTCATCGAAAGCTCAGTCTTCTTCATCCAACATATGATTCCATTAAATAGATATAACACACTTTGCCTTTATACCTCCACTCACCACACCTTAATTAAAATTCTCTAGTGGCCCTAGAGAATTTAATTTAATTTAATTTAAACATCTTTTAATTGTTCTCAAGCTGGCCATTTTCGTCCAAACCCTTGTAATTCATTAAGCATGCTTTAATATACGTTATTAAGTAATGAATCTATTAAATTTTTATTGAAGAATTAATGAGGGAAAATATTCGTCCCATAATTGATAAAGTAAAGTTAATTAATATGTCACGTATATAGTTTACAATTGCATGTATGGTCAAAATCACCTTTAGTGAATGAAGTGGTATTGTCTTAGCTTTGCATATTCCTCTCAATTTGTATATAAATACAAAATAGAAAAAAGATAAGAAGAAAAAGAGTATTATCTCAAAGGTATATAGAATATATGTGCCCCAAAATTTACAAGTATATATATTAAGAAAAGTGAAGGATCTGTTCTTTTATCAGACATTTAGCAACTATATGTGATAGTGATTTAATTTTTTATTTTATGTCACTTATTTTACTTGTATATATATCATCGGTATAAAATGATTAATTATCATCCATCACTATCCATCTAAGTTCCTTTTGCATGACAGATGAACTGTAAAACATAAGTTATATAATTTAATTTGTACAATGTGAATATAAATAAAAAAGAATTATTGTTAAAGATCAATCACATCATCATTTGAAAGTAGCTTTTTCTAAGTATAATATGAATAACTGAAGATAAATGAATATATATAGTAGTGGTAGGTCTCTGATTGATATGTAAATTATTTAACAAGATGTTATTGATTTTTTATTATTAAAATTTAGATAAATGTGGTCCTTATGTTATTAGTTGAGAAGTGTTGGTTTAGAATTTTCACTCAAATCAAATTAATTAATTTAATCTATTAATGGCATATCATAATTAGATATTAAATAGGTGGCAAAATTGGGCACAATTTCTTCTTTCTAATGCTCTAACAAGTCATAACTTTTTTTTTAAGAGAAAAAGAAGAGTCGAACTCATAACCTCTTACTTAAACGAGCATTACTTAAAAAATGTTTGGTATCACTTAAGTCAAATCAATCTGATTTTAGCCAACTTTGTTATACAATATTATCTGTCCTTTATAAATCATGAATCACTGGGTTTAATAAATGAGATGCCTGATGGGAAATAAAGGTTAAAGAAGTCGCGCTGGTGGAGTTCAGCTATAGGGTATACCTGAATTATATCGAAATATGCATACTTAATTATTATTAGATCTAAATCCAAAAGAAGAAAACAAGGGGACATAATAATAAAAAAGAAAACTTAGTGCCACATGTCTAAATCATACCAAATTTACACTTTTTGCCTAATAAGAATAAACACGGGTAGAATATGAAGTTGTTCGTGAATTCGAAATGGGATCAAACGGTGGCCACAAGCAAACAAAAGAACTACTACGTACGTACAATGCATTTGTCCTGTCGTTCGCTGGCTTTAATCTGATTCCAATTAAGTTTTAATTACGGATAAGAAAGCACTTTCGGTCTTAAAGAGCCAAATACAAATGCGATACCCTTCCGTTGTTTGAAGCTAAGGGCAAAGAGAAAACTCTTCTTTAACTTGGACAGGGATATGTGATGTTTAGGAGAAATTCAAATCGGGAGTTGGAAAGAAGGACGGTTATAGATTATGTACCTCCTTTTGGTGAAGTTAATTTAGTTTTGTCAAGTTCATTACTTAGTCAGGTGTGTTCTTGTATTACTCAATCGAAACACACAAGAATAAAATGATCTAACTTGGGAGAAAAATACATGGGAGCTTATTCCCCACCTCCCCTCCTTCAGTTATCAAACTTTCTTCCATCAAATTGAAAAAAAAGGGAAAGAGAATAAATTATATCTTAAGTGATGGGAAGGTGGCTTGGAATTGGATCCAACAAGAAGTTCGGAAGTGATCATCGACTTGATGGCCACAATTCCAATTCGAAGGTTAAGTGTAAAGTGTGGTATAAGATTCAATTCACCAAAGATACCCCACATCAAATCAAAGTTTTTGAGTCATCATCGTACGGAATGAGAATAGACCTTTCTGTGTTACCTGAGGATTACAGAAATTGTGCCATTAATCAAGTGAAATCGTAAATGCTAGGAATTAATTTGATTTAACTCTTTTCCTTTTGGTTTCACTCTTTCCCTTGTGGCAGCATAAATACAATCTGAGTCATTCGAATGTGCATCTTGATCCTCTGAATTCGAGGGCATACAACAAAGATACCAGTGCTTTTTTATGAACAAAAACATATTTTTATTGACAGTAGCCATATTCAAGATATCGTAAGATGTTAAATGTAGATATCTTTTTCTAAAAAGATTTGGATATTGATTTATCATATTATGGGCAACTTAGCCCATTTTGGTGATGCCACTTATTGGTCAGTACTGAAATTAACTTGGCTAATTGGTATTGTACTCTTCTGGTTTTTAATGTAAGATCTAATTGGGAAATTGATGTTGGTTGTAAGACTTGTTTTTTTATGTTAATTATTTTTTTTCAAATTAACTCTATTAATATTTTCCCAACAATAATTAAGTAGGAGAAGGATGAAAGGAATTAAGAAAGATGCTTAGGGTGTTTTAGAAAAAACATATCATATTAACTAATTTAACTAACATTTATAATCTATTTAAATTAGTTGATTATGTTTTACATTATGAGGGTATTTGGATGAAAACCGGCCCATAATTTTAAAAACAATTTTATGATATACAAAATAAATATGTGAAAAATTTTTTATCTCAAATTATATGAAAGTGTTTTTTTTTTCTGGGGAAACTAAACACAACGAAAGAGTTAAAAAAAAAGAGGCTAATTAGTATGGATTAGTCTGTTTATTTTAGCAAAGGGGCCCAATTAAGTGATGGGCCTGTGATTCGATCTTCAAGCCTGGGCCTGCTTATCAACGCTGGATTTGGAAAAAAAAATATGTGTCCAGCATATTCCTCCAGACTCCTTTCCCACGCGCTGAGAAAACAAGTATCTGACACACGCTCGACACGTCATCAGGACCCTCTGATTCAGACTTCTGCATTCGAAGTTAACGATAAACTATTCAGTTTTCGATGGTCACGCCTGGCCGTTCTGAAATGATTCAACGAGTAACTAAGTCGAGTGCCACACATCGGGCCATTTCTTCACTCTAGCCTCGGAGGATCCATCCATCCATTATTTCATCCTCAAATCTCGCGAATAATCCGACCTAGATCTCCTAAATTATTTCAAATCATGGCCGTAACTTCGAGCCGATGTTAAGGAAATGAATCTTTCTCTGTCCTCGGCGACTACTTCTTCCACCTTGTCTTCTTTGTCTTCATCATCGTCGTCGTCGTCGTCGTCATCATCGTCATCTTCTAAGTCGTGGTTCTCGGGAATTGTTCGAGGCCGTTCTGATAGATCAGGCAGTGTCAAAATGGTAAATAACTCCTCTGCCAGCACGAGTGATTCCGCCGGTCCCGTTGTCCGGAAGAATCAGTTCCGAGGGGCCTTATTCAAGTACGGTCCGAATCCTATTCAGGTACCTTAGTGTTTGCTTTTGTTGATTTAGAGTTTGGGAAGTAAGGATTGAGAGTTGAAACTTCGGATTTGACTTAAATTGTGCAAGATTTAGTCTCACCATTTTAAACGTAGCCTTCTGCTCATTTTAGTCATCTTTGAGATCGCATTTAGTAGCATTGTTCACTTTCGCTGAAATGTGCGTGAACTCGAATTACTGTTGTTTGTTAGCATCTACTGCATTGTCTTCAAAATCTCCCGTTTCCCAGAGGTAGAGACGTTTTGCTGACCAATTTCATTTCAGAGTCACTGTGTTGGGAGTAATGGTACACATAGAGGATATTTGGCATGTGGTTAAGCCTTGGGGCAACAAAAGCAACTTTTTAGAAGCATCGTCTGAATATCGACTATAACTGCATTTTGGTGATTTTATGAAAGTAATACGGAGTGAACGTTCATGGAATACCATAAGCATCATTTTGGGTTTATGATATGAATGCCGAGTAATATATTTTTACATAAGTGGAGTGGATATTTGTAATATTTGCGAGCCTAGAGTTGTTGGCCTTATGGTGCTGCGTTTCAAAGAGGCGGCATCTAAAATTTGAGGCTTCGTACATACCTAGATATCTAAAATTTTATAATTATTAATGAAGTACACCATCCAAACTGCTTCCACATATTCTTGCAATATGATGAACATTTGCCTTCCCACCCTCCCTCCCTCCTATGAAGTTAAAACATTGAGTGGTAAAGCTGAGGGCGTTCTTTACATTAGTTTTCATCATGTGATTGGTTTTTTCTCGCTATACTGAAGAAAATGCTGCAGTTCATTGTTATAGCAGTAATGGTTTGCATTTCACATGTTTTTGTGTTCTTTGCAAGGCATATTTGGATGTTCAATTTCAAATAAGACTTGTAGGTTTTTTTTCTCCTTTTTGAAGGGCGGTCTATCTTAGCAAATAGTTCATCTTAATTCAGATGGTTGGGGTGTGAATTTCTGCTGGAGAAGGAAAATTCATCTTCATTCCAGTTCATCTTTCCTTGTGAGCCATGCACTTTGGCATGCATATAAAATGGCTGACTGCTTTGCGATGATTCCTTTTATTTACAGGTTGCATTTAAGACTGGCGATTACAAACAGCAAGTCATTTTCATCGGTGGATTGACTGATGGTTTTCTTGCCACGGCGTATGTTGAATATTTTATAACTTAAGCATATTAGAATACATTTTTCTTATCTCTCAGGCTTGGTGTGTGCGAGTATGATATCTTCTGTACCATTCGACTGATAACCTCTGTCAATCAAATCATCCAACAACCAAATTTTACTACTTATAAATATGTGAACCAATGAAAAGTATTCGTATGATATCCGTTAACTGTCTTCTTGCAGATATTTGGAACCTCTAGCAATTGCTCTAGACCGTGAGAAATGGTCTCTAGTTCAATTTCTTATGTCATCTTCATATAGTGGATACGGCACCTCCAGCTTGCAACAAGTAAACAATTAGATCTTTATCCTCTGATATGGCAGTAGTACTGTAATACTCTACACAAGAATTTCTGCAAACATGTTATGCTCATTTACTTTTTTTTTTTTTTTAAATTAAAGCCAAACATTCTGATCTTTGTTAATATACTTGCTTAAAATTATTGTATGAATTTTTACCCTCCTAAATGTTACTAGCATTCTGGTCAAGGTATACTCTTGGCTCCAAAGCACGTTGCCCTTGTCTTTCAGGACTTTATTCTCTGGCACCTGAAACTATAGACTTGTAGTGTGTTGTCTAAAGAAAATGTTGGCAGAGGAATTTTTATATATGCGCATTAAGCAAATATATATATTTTTTGGACTATGGTAAATTTGCTTCTGAAAATTTTTTCACTCAGGAGTGTTGGGCGATTGAAAGTTTTTTGGGTGCAAATTTGCCTGAAAATTTAAAATTGCTGCAATATTGCCTTCTATCATTAAAAATATTGATGGTCAATGTCATTATTTTACGGTAAGGAGCAGCATCGCTATAATTTTAAACTTTCAGGAGCAAATTTGCATCCCAAAAAACTTTTGAGTACCGGTGCTCTTGAATGAAAACTTTTGGGACGAATTTGCATTTTAACCTTTATTTTTAAAATTTTTATTCAAATATTCAAGGTAATTTATTCTTCTGTTGTCTTAATGGCTATTAACTCGTGCAACATATATTCATATTCAATTAGATGCCATGATGCTTGAATTTTAAGATATTTTGTTGAATTCATGTTGAAGGATGCCAAGGAGCTGGATCAGCTGATAAATTATTTAATTAACAAAGAAGATTCTGAAGGTGTGGTACTGCTTGGGCATAGTACCGGTTGTCAGGTTATTTATTAGTGTGCTTGAATCCTAAGCCATACTTTTAACTCTCTTATCGCAACTACTATCTGGTGAGCAAGTGAAATGAACTTATCTCTAATTTGGACATGTTGTCTAGGATATTGTGCATTATATGCGTACAAATGCTGCATGCTCCCGTGCTGTTCGTGCTGCCATCCTACAGGTACTTGCTCATTTATATTAGAGCATATGTAAACACTTGCCCTGTAATTGGTTTCAGGGACTTCAAGGGAAGGAGAACAAGTGATTTCGCTTCCCTACGCTTGTGCTTGTTTAGGTGAAAAAATGGAGGGAAGGCCCTTCCGTCCTATTGCTTCCCTCCAGAATTTGGGGGATTTGGAGGGGCAGGGAGCAACCAATTTATATATAATTTCTGAAATATCCTCACTTATTTTCTTAATTCCACAATTACCCTTAATATCCCTAAAAGCAAGCTGTGTTCTCATATTGCAAGCCCCTTCAAGGAGGAAGAGGAGCCTGTTTGTGCTAGGAACGCAGGTTCTTTCTTTCCTTTTTTTTTTGGGGGGGGGGGGGACAAATGAACTTGAACCTGATAGGATTATAATAGTCAATTTAAATGTATTTCCCCTCCCCTCCTTCCCCTTCAAAACCAAACAACGAGACATCAAAATCTCTCTCCTTCTCTCCTTCAACCACACCAAATAAGGGGACTTCCCTCTAACCAAACATACCCTTTGTAAGCATTGTGGCTGTGCGCTTCTAGTGCTGAAACAATGATTCATTCATTCTTGCACCATGTGTATTTTTTGGTTAATATTATTTGCTTGGTACTCTCAGTGAGCAATGGGTTTGTTCTTTCACCTTGGAGCAGTTTCTCTTGGTACATTTTACAGTTTTAAATTTTAATAAGGATAGAGAGCCCAAATTTCTGTGGCATCGGGTCAATTGCAGCTTCCTTGTGTACTTGGATGGAGTAGATGCGTGCATATCCAAAGCTGTAATTTTTCCCCTCGTTAATTATAGAATAAGGCTGTGTTATAAGTATTTGGTGATTTAATCATTGTGTATTTAATCATCGTGTATTAGGGGAGTTTCCATTTCTGATGTGCAGAGAGATTGGTTAGCTTTGCTGCTTTGAGCTACCTTGGCTCTTTCTTTTCTGTTAGCTTCTGACTGTTGGAAGATATATCGTCCTCCCCTTAGTTGTACTTTCTTTATCTTCTTTAATTACCTTATTTTATAGGAAACATGTTATGTCTTGCAATTGCCTCTGTTCTCTCACTTGAACTTTTTCGGTTATGCCAATAAAAATGACCAGGCTCCAGTTAGTGATAGGGAATATCGAGCTACGCTGCCCGAGACAGCTTCTATGATTGACTTAGCTGCTAGTTTGATAAGAGAAGGGCGAGGTTCTGATTTAATGCCAAGAGAAGCAGATTCTTCTGCGCCGATTACTGCCTATAGGTGAGTTTGCTTCACAATAACGTTGTAAGAACAGCACAAATACTGAAATAAGCCTTGACCTGAACTGATAAAATTGTTGATAAATTCCAAAGTAGCATAATTTGTCGATTAAGAAAGTAGGTTGTTGTATCACCAAAAAAAGAAAAAAAAGAAAGTAGGTTGTTGCCTTTCAATTAGTAGTTCACCAGGCGAGTCTAAACATTTACAAATTTTGACGTTGAAATATGTCCTCTTTTATAATTAGCCCTTTTGTTTCATTGAAGTTTCTGTATGTGTGTGTGTGTATATATATATCTGACAGTTGAAACAAATTTACATTTGTGAGTTATCCCTGAAAAGAATGCTTTTGGTTTTGAGAACAGGGAAAGGCAACCTTGTGTCATTAAAGATGGTATATGGGGCACTGGGGTTCCGGGATTGGCATTGAGAATTTTGCTTGCTTAGGTTATGATGGACATGGGTGGTGGCGCTATGGGGATGGGGTCTTAGTTCTGTGGTCCTTAGTCGGGCCTACTTTTGTTTTGTTGATCTTTTCTACCTCCTTCATCGGCCTCCTTCTTCCTCTCCTTAGTTGCTCTAATCATCACCTGATATGCTAATGCATAAAAAATATTGACTGTTGTGCAAGATTAAGACATCAAATGGATGATACAGAAAAGGTGATTGTCTTCTCATGCCATTGCTTCCTTTGTAGTGAACCAATACTTTTGCAGGTATCACTCCCTTTGTTCATATAACGGTGATGATGATTTATTCAGTTCCGACTTTAGTGAGGATCAATTGAAATTGAAACTTGGGCACATGTCTTGCACACATTGCCAGGTGAGCGCATCTGTCTGACTTAATTTTTTTCTTTTCCTTTTATTTTTTATTTAAAAAATCTCTTTTGATTGGGTGCTTGATTCTTCAAATCCCCATTCTGTATATCCTTGAACTAAAATTTAACATTTTTCTAAATAAAGATCTATTTGTTGCCTTCAATGTAACTAAATATAGTTGATGTTGCCCTTGTGGTAATGTCTTGAGTCCTCAAAATGCATGTCAGCGATTCAGGGCTAAGAAAATAAGATGATTGTTATTCTAATCTGGAGAGAGGAGGGGGGAGGGGGAAAATAGAGAATTACTTGGCGAATATGGAGCTGATCTCTTTGAAATGCCATGGTGTTTTACAGGTTATATTTTCGATGGGTGATGAATATGTGCCAGACTATGTTGATAAGGAAGCACTGGTTGAGCGGTAAATTCTCTAATCCTCTTTGTTGACAAATATGTAGTCTCTTTGTTCGAGCAATAACCCCAGGTCAGAGGAAGGACAATACTGTTTGTTTGGCAACCTCTGACAATCACTTAAAAAAAGCACTTTTGCATTTTATGAAACAAAAATCTTCTCATATACTTATCTTATACATGGCAAAATCCCTTGAAATAAGCTAATCAAGATAATACCCTCTCGGGTTTGTAGTCTATCTCAAGCAGTATGTCCTGTGTCTGGTGTGGGTTGGGGGAGATACAGGGGAATAATAAATTATGAGGTGGTATATGATAATTGTTGATATGTTGATGGGATGCATTTGAAAAAACATGCAGATTATGCAGAGCGTTGGGAGGCGCCGAAAAAGTAGAGATTGAACATGGGAACCATTCCCTCTCTAACAGAGTTGAAGAGGCTGTCCAAGCAATTATTGACTTCATAAAAAGAGGGGGACCAAAAGGTTGGGATGATCCCTGGAATTAATGTGTTTTATCTCTCTTAATTTACACTCACTCTATCACTGTTTTTTCCCCCCCTTTTCACTTCTTCTAGCCAACCATCCTTTCATTTTTCTCTCTTGTTCCCCCCCCCTCTTGGGTTGGTGGGGTTGTTACTTTCATTTTTTTTTTCCAATTTAATACATGTTGATATTTTTTAAAACTGTTTGTAACAGTTGTGTGGGACAGAATTTCATCTCTATAACATTTTTTTTTTTGGGGTGAAAATACGGGGCTAAAGCCCTTATTATTATTTCAGAACCTTACGTGGGTAAGCAATTCCTACGTAATCCCTGTACAAATATAATGACAGCTTCTGGGGTGGTTTCTCATAGAATGTCACCACCTCCCTCTGCTGAAAGCTCATATTGGCCAGACAATCAGCACAACAATCTCAATTGCATTTTCTTGTTCCTTCAATAACCTTTAAAAAAGTCTAGGAACTTGTGTTTATAGCTTAGAGTAATCTAATTCCCAACTAGGTTCTGAGATCTAATAGCCACAGTTCCGGTTGTTGGTTGGGGTGTCAGTTAGCATCCTCCCTATCACAATGAGTATTTCGTAAAACTATGAAAAGCGATCTATCTGTTTTGGATCTACCTAGATTTTTTCTTGTTTTTCCCCCTTGTGTCGTCATTAACGAGACAATAATTTAAATATCCTTCGAAGGCAAAAAAAAAAAGGTTTTTAATGTCAGATTTATTTATTTTATTTTATTTGAATTACAGATTAGAGGAAAATAGTATTAAATATTCTGTTTTAAATCGCTGGTAAAAAAATATTTTTGTTTTAAATCAGTCCTCCATGAAAGAAATATAAAGCTGCAATACTATTGCCGTCAGATTTAGCAAAGCTTAACGGAATCTGCATTAACGGTGTATTAAAACTTAGATCAGTCAACAAATCGATCAAGGCAATTATTTAAGGGTTAATATAATTTTTGCTCTCTTAAATTTGTTTTCATTTTGGTTTTAATCCCTCAAATATCAAATAATAGGTTTTAGTTTTTTAAAGGGCAAAATGATTCAAATTTTTATTAGATTATAGAGACTAACATTTTAAATGAAAGGAAATTAAAGAGGTCAAAACTTATAATTTAAAATTTGAGGAATACAAACCAAAATAAGGATAAATTTTAATGGCCGAAGTTTGTATTAACTCATTATTTTAATGATTAATAGTTCAATTTGGAGTTAACTTGAAACCAGACTAGTCATAATTAAACAGAGTATTTAAATTTTAAAAAAATTACTCCTCCAATCCTTAATATAAGACACATTTAACTAATTTGATTAGATTAAAAAAGTTAGATAAGTTAGTTAATGATAAGAAATGTGACATGTTTTTCCTAAAACACCATAATCATCTTTCTTAATACCCCATCTCTCTCTTCCACTTGATTATAGTCGATGGAGTATAATTTAGAAAAAATTAATAAATATGAGAAATGAGTCTTATATTTATGACCAAAACTAACTCAATAATTAGGTCTTATAGTAAATCGAGGAGTAATTCACAAGTATATAAAGTATTAATTATAAAAGTGTATTTAATGAAAGAAACACTTGTTTGCAGCATCATACCTTTCATTTTCATTCGATGCTTACGCTAACTGCTAGAGCGGTTTCCCAGATCCTTAGCTATGATCAATTTCACTGGTCGTTTTCTTTTCCATTAGCATCTTATGTTTCCATCCCAAGGTCCAAATTGATTTGGGGTATGCCGGTCACCATTTTCATTCGGTTTAGCTGCCCACCGAGCTTGAATTCTCTTGATAAGAAAATGAATGGGCAGTCATAAATCAAGGACTAATTAAAAGTAATGCCGCATCATTTAGAGAAAGTATCAAAAAGGAGTGAAAACTAACAAAAGTATTTAGTTCCCCACTATGTATTAATTAATTTTGGTTCGAATCTTCACTGATCAATGTGCTCATATTTAATACCAAACGATTTCTCAAATAAAATTACCTTTAATAACGAGGTATTTATATACTGGAAAAAAAAGAGGTGAAAATTATCTTACCATTCTATTTGAGGACACTTTCAATAGGGATGGGGCGTATTAAAAAACGATTAATGCTATCGTTAGTTCTTATAATTTAAAAATATTAAAATATTTTTTCCCAGTTTTACCCTTTATCTAATTATCATCGTCTCGTGTGAAGGGTGATTTTGTTTTGGCAGGCTTCATTGGGTGAGGTCACGGTGAGTAGGAGGCAGCCACACATTTGATGGCCAGCTGTTGGCACATGAATGATGAATCAGCATGATTGCATTTGCCTTGCCGGTCCTACCCCCCATTTCCCTTCTCCCTCTGCATAATGCCATACTTGTTCTGCTGCCCCCTGTCCTCTTCATTCATGCTTACTTTCACACTTTGATTCACTTGGTTGGAACTATAAAAGTGAGTTAAACATAAAGTTTGCCTTTTTCCCCCCTTTTGTTTTGTCTATTTTTTTAAAATAAAAAACACACTTGGAAATAGATTTTTTTTCATAGGAAAGAGCTTTTTTTTCACTCCTCTTATCCTATGTTTGATGTAAGAAAAATAAAGGAAAAAAAATTTAACGAGCTCAATTTAACAACTTGAAAAAGTGGGGTTTTAAAATTTGAATAAATAGAAGATGTAAGATAAAAAATAATAGAAATTAATTAAAAGCTTTCAATCCCATTTCTTCGATCTTTTAAATTTTTCTTTTCCTCTCTCTCTCTTTTTTCCCATTTCTCTCCTGTAACGTGCAACCTCTCTCTTCTTTCCACGTGTGGACGTGTGGTATGAGGTCAAGATGTCATGGGCAACATGTTCGGTTTTCGTCGGGGAGCCGTCACAAAAACCAATTCATAAGGGTGAGAGAAATTCCTATAATCCAAAAAAAAAAGCCCTCATTGATAACAATTTAATCATCAAACCAAACATGGCAAAAACAGCAATTACAAGTACTTCATCGTAGAAATGAGGTCCAGGGTGAGAATGAGGAACAGTACAATACCAGTCGGTGTGAAAACGCGTCTTTTAAAAGGAGGCGAACAGCTGAGAGGTGGGGGTGGGGTAGTATGTTTTGAATCACCACCTTCTTCACGCGGGATTCATAATAAGCTCCCTATTTTAGGTGGTGTGGTTACACCTTGAACTAAATACCATCTCTAACTCTCCTTGTGTGTGTATGCGTTTTTTTTTTTTAAAAAAAGATTGAGGGGCAGACATAATTAAGTTACCAGCAAGATCAAACATATGACCTTCACTATTAAGGGAGTCTTCATGCCATTAAGGTATAAGGTTCTTCCAACTCTATATCTAACACGTTCTTTGTTTGGGATCACACACAATTATATAGGCCTCTAAATATTTTTCTAGTCTCTTTTACAAGAGTCTGAAATTTAAATTGTCTTGATCTTTTTTATAAGATCCTAATTGGGATTGTCTGAACATTTAATGTATTTTTACTGAGTTGCTCCTAATTAATTCTATACGTTATATTAATTAAAATATTGACAACTTAGCATATTATATTCTTTTTCACACTTTCTCTTAACTTGTTACCACTATGTTTCTCTCCCTTGCTTCATACTTGGAAAAAAAACTTCATTTCTTATCAGATTATTTTTAAATAATTTTAACTATTTTCTGTGTAATTCAATTATCAGACTCTTATAAAAAACATGATATATTTGAAGTATAACAGTGGATGATAATATTTTCTAGTCAAAGATTTCATTATTAATATATATACTACCTCCGGTCCTTAATATAAAACTTTACTTGACTTTTATTTTAGTCCTAAATATAAGACCCCAATCCACTTTATCTTTCATATTTATGTATTTTTTTTCCAAGATAGTTCTTTTAATAATTGTAGTCCTAGCCAATATAGTTGATTAGTAAGGATATTTTAGAAAAGTCAGTACCTATTTATTACAAATAATTAATTTAACTTCTTTCCTTAATCTCTTCAAATTAGTCAATTGAGTCTTATAATTAGGACCGGAGGTAGTATATAGTTATAAAGATGCTGATGATGGCCCCCGTCTTGAGTTCCTTTTAATATGCGTGTTATGAATTGCAAGACTTGTTTGGTAATGTGGTTACAATATTATTGTAATGGCTAATGATGATTCTGGTATGATCTGATCATTGCAGTAAGCTCTACTCATTCTTTCACCAAAAGGATTTTAATTTTGTGGCTCAATCATATAACAATGAATACACAAGCAATAAAACCAAGTTCTACCATAAATCTGAATAGTGTTTCTTTTTTCTTGGTGCCAAAATGTTCAATATCCAAACTTTTTTTTTGACCATTGAACTCCAACTATGGCTTTTTATTTGATTATTAGAGTTTCTAGTAAAGCTATATCAATGCTTTCATGGAAATGTAAACACGAGTTAGCTTCATTCCTTTTACTTTGAAGTTAAAAATATTTTTAAGAAAAAAATTAAAATAAAAAAATTTATACTATCTAAATTTAAGTATAGGATAAAGTAAAAATTTTGCCAATATTTATGGGATATGATGATAATCTGGATCACATAGTTCTATTTACTTGTTTTCGGCGAAAAATGGGAGTATATATTTTTGAATTATGCAGTTTATTGCAAAAAAAAAACTCGACATGAGATTTTCTTATAAAGAGGGGAAAAAAGGAGGAAAATAAAATAACAGCAAGGGCTGTAATCGAATCACCGTTGGATTTGATTTGATCCCTGCTTTCCAATTTCAATCATGTAGGATTCTCCTTTGCCCCCATATTATCATCTCCCATGATAATTCTCAAAGACTTTACCTTTTGTGACAACAGCCCGATTTACACGCCGAATGCTCCTGCAACTACACTAGTCTCCTTCTGTTTCTGTTTCTTCTTCTCATACTCCCAACTTCCTCTCTGTTTAACACCCACCGCCACCACCTCCTTGTAAATATCTCCGCATCATTTTCTTCTTCTTCTTCTTCTTCTTGTTCTTGTTACCTTCGCCTGTTCCTGTTAAAAGCATTGTGTTTGTTGCTCGAGAAAATCGATATATATATATTTTTTCCTTTGGTAGTCTTTTTTCTTTTCTTTTTTAAATTGTTGTCTTCAAAAGTTGGCGACTTTTTCGTGGTGACTGTTTTTGTTAGCTGCCGTCCTCCGTCGGTGGCGGTGGCAGTGGTCCTGGGACTCTCCGATGGGGGTTGTTACGCCCTCGACGAATCAACGGTCATCTTGGTTCAGTCCGATATGGCATTGGCCTTCGGGCTTGCTTCTGGTGGCTTTGGTTTTGATTGGTACGGTCACTTTTTGGAGAATCGATGGCACCATTGTTAGAAATTACATTGAGGCTCGAGGATTCCCTCGCTATGATATTCGTTCATCAAATGTCTCCCGAACCTATCAAAATTCGACCTGTAAATCCCCACTTGTTCCACTTAGTTCGAACCAAAACCATACAAATTCAACTCTTTTTGCTCCCATTGAACCAGTTCCTTTCAAGAATTCCACTTTGGTGTCTGAAATAATTAGTGAGAACCCGATTCAGAACGTGGTTCAGCAAAGTCCGAGTTGGATTTCTTCTGAATTAGAACCCAACTTGACTTCAAATCTTCTTGCTCGATGGTTGGCTCCTGGAGGAGAACCTTGTAGAGATTCTTACACTACACAGATTGCTATTTCTGGTTTGGATAATGGGAAAGAGATAGAACTTTCAGCTGGTGAAGTTCATCAATTTACTTTCCAAGCATTGGATGAGGCTGGAAATCCTCGTTGCTTAGGTGGGGATTACTTTGAAACTGATCTTTCAGGAGAACAGTGGAAATCTCGGCCTTTAGTGAGAGATTTCAGCAATGGGACTTACTCAATTTCGCTCCAAGTTCATCCAGACTTCGAAGGTTTGTACAATCTCACCATCATTCTGCTTTACAGACACTTCGAAGGCCTCAAATTCACCCCTTGGAAATTTGTATACGATCGAGTGCTTCGAAATATCCCAGTCAGATTCATCAGAACTGTTGATTTACCAGAATTACAGACTTGTAAATCTTCTGATTTTACCAGAGATGTGTGGTGTGGAAGATGGATTAGGCTTGGAAAAAATGATGATTGTGAAATAAGTAATGATGGTAGATTTAGATGCTTAGCTCCGGATTTCCCTTGTAAATCTCCGTGGTGTGATGGTTCTTTGGGGGTTCTGGAGAGTAATGGATGGGTTTATTCCACGCATTGTTCATTCAAACTGTTCTCGGCTGATTCTGCTTGGAATTGCTTGAAGAATCGGTGGATCTTCTTCTGGGGTGACTCAAATCATGTTGACACAATACGTAACATGCTCAATTTCATCTTAGACTTGCCTGAAGTACATGCTGTACCCAGAAGATTTGACATGAACTTCTCAAACCCGAAAGACCCATCTCAAACAGTTAGGATCACTAGCATCTTCAATGGCCACTGGAATGAAACAAAGAACTATGAAGGTCTAGATTCTCTAAGAAACAAAGGGTTTCAAGACCTGCTCAAGAATTACTTCTCAGAACCCACAGTTCCAGACACCATGATAATCAACTCTGGCCTGCATGATGGTGTTCACTGGGCTAGCATCAGATCATTCTCAAAAGGAGCAGATTATGCAGCATCATTCTGGAAAGAAGTTATGACCTCAGTGAAGCAAAGAGGGTTGGCTTGGCCAAGAGTGTTTTACAGAAGCACAGTCGCTACAGGTGGGTATGCAAGATCACTGGCCTATAATCCTAGCAAGATGGAGGTCTTCAATGGCATATTGTTGGAGAAGTTGAAGCAAGCTGGGGTGGTTTCTGGTGTGATTGATAACTTTGATCTCACATATCCATGGCATTTTGATAATCGTTGTAATGATGGAGTTCATTATGGAAGAGCTCCATTGAAGATGAAGTGGCGAGATGGCCAAATTGGGCACCAATATTTTGTGGATCTCATGTTAGCTCATGTTCTGCTGAATGCAATCTGTGTAAGATAGGCAAGGCATGTTCATATCATATACTGTATTTTTGCCTTTTTAATCACATCATAGGCATGTTTCATTCTTACTATCTGAATTATCTCAGGTGGCTTATATTGTTTACATACATAGCATTGTCAGTAATTGTTGTTACATGAGGTTAGGATTTAGCATACTTTCTTGTTTATCACGTATGTGTCAGAGTATATGTACGAGGTTGCTTCACTTGTGGATCTACATTGGGTTTTAAGTTCCAGAAAACCTTGTTGATTTGTTATTATAACAGGGTAGCAGAACTAAACATTATTTTAGTTGGAAGAGGATTAAGAAAATAGGGAAAATTTAGTAATCTTGTCCATATTAGAGGACAGGAATAAAATAAAATAAGTATGATCTCTTGTTCTGTAGTCTTGGGTTGCTGGTGAGCTCCTTTTAACACGAGTAAGGCCAAATGAGTAAACTGCAGAGCATACCAGATGAGGAAAACTAACTTGTTATGGATATTTCTTAATTCTTAATATAATATATGCAAAGTTGTTGTAACTTAAAACCATGTAATAACAACTTTGCATGTATTAATAAAGTTAGTTAAAATTATTTAGTTCTAATAAAATATCAAAATTATCTTCAATAAAAACCATTAGTTACAAAAAGTATGGTTAATTAATTGAGAAATTTTATAATCTTCCGGTTCTTAATATAAAACGTAATTAACTAATTGAATAAATTAGGGATGTTAGTTAAATTAGTTATTATGATATACTATCTTCGATTTTAATTATAAGATCTCGTTTGTAGATTATAAGGGAGGTCTTATACTTATGGTCGGAGGAGGTAGTATTTTTTCTAAAATACTTTACATATCTTTTTTAAGTTCCTCTCTCTTTTACTTGATTATTGTTACGAAAATATCAATAGGATTAATTTGAAAAAAAAATTGATAAACATTTGAAATTGATTTTATATATAAGATCAGTATCAACTTTTCAATTAGATTCTATATCAAAGATCGGAAGAATACCAAATTAAGGATATTAGATGAAGAAAATTAATACTTTAAACAAAACATTATAAAATATGCTGAAAGAACTTGTAAAAAAAGAGGAGCGAGTAACATTTTGGAAACTGGAATTTGCAAGTATTGTATTTTTATGATACTATTGCTAACTGGAAAAAGAAATCAGGTCCGGTTTCGGTGCTCTGATGAACACTCAGCGCTCATAATTAATATTTTAAAATAGAAAAAATTATTTTTTTCAAAGAATGATAGTTAAGAAATTATCTTTATTTTTTATTTTATACCTATTAAAATAATTAAAATAATTATTTAAAAAAATAAAAATAAAAATAAAATTATATCTGGAGTGTCTAAGTGCTAGGTTCTTATCAAAACTGATGAGCATCTAAACTTTTTCCGAAATTCACCGCAGCCAAATATGCTTGATTATTTTGTTTTGGGCGATGAATTTATAAGTTGCTTGCGTGGTCATCTGTCCAAAAGAGATTCATAGGCTGACCATGTGGGGAGATCCGGTTTTAGCAGGCAGCTTGGGCCAGCTAGGCTGTATTGGACCACAATGGGTTAGGTTAGTTTTGCACTTTGCCTCCATGAAATTTCAAATCATATTATCACACTGCAAGTAATATTTAATTATTAATTAGTACTACTTCTGGTCTTTAATATAAGATCTTGTTTAACTTTTATTTTAGTCCTAAATATAAGACTGCAATCCACTTTGTTTATCATATTTATACATTTTTTTTCACAGTAGCCGTTCTAATAATAAGAGTTCTAGTCAATACACTTGATTAGCAAGGATATTTTAGGAAAGACGACACCTATTTATGACAAATAACTAACTCAAATTACTTTCTTAATCTCTTTAAATTAATCAACTGGCTCTTATAATTAGGACCGGAAATAGTAGTAAATAATTCACTATTCAATAGCTATGAAAAAGTTCATCTCCAGAATGATCCCTCTCAAGATTTTCAGTTGTTGGGGATTGTAACTCAAATCATTCTAAACGTCTTTTTTTTTAAAAAAAAAACTTTCTTAATTTGAGATGGAGTTCGATTTTTTTTTAATGAAAAGTATAGACAAGTTATGATTTTTTTTTTTAAAAAAAAGAAATCAGCTACATGATCATACTATTTCTAAACACAAATAACTAATCCTTTTAGGGATATCTGATCAAATTGGAACACAAATGGCTTACAATACACTACTATTTGCAATTGCAAAGTTGATGCTTTTTTTTTTTGGGACAAAATTAAGGGGTATTTGGATTAGTTTTTTTAAAATAATTTTATGATGTACTAGATAAATATATAAGATGGGTTTTATCTCAATTTACATAAAAATATTTTTTGCTGTGCCTATTTTTAGAAGTAATTTTATGAAATTCATGATAAATAAAACGACTTTTAACGAGTTAGAATCCTTTAAAAACAATTTTTAATTCTGTCCAGTAAAGAAGTGTTTTTTAGAATTTCAATTGTGATTCCAAACAAATGAGTAAATAAAATAAAAGGTTAATACAAATTTTGATATCTCAAATTTATTTTTAATTTGGTTTTAATTTCTCAAATTTTATTATTGGTTTTGGTTCCTTAAGTTTTTTTTTCTCATTTATAATATTGGTTTCTATAATTCAATAAAAATGTAAAATATTTTGTCTCTTAAGGGATTAAAACCTATAGTTTACAATTTGAGAAACCAAAATTAAAATAAAACAAACTTAAAAATAAAATATTATATTAACTCTAAAATAAAATAAAGCATCACACACATACTCTCTCTCTCAGCTCACGGAAAAAAAGGAATATTTGTTCAAAAAAATAGAAGAAGGAATATGAAGGACAAATTGCAGTCCAATCAAATACTAGTGTCTGGAGGTGCAGTGCTGGAAGAAAAGAGAGGCGGAAAAAGCCGGTTAGAAAAGTTCGAACTTTGGAAGGGCCCTGAATCCGACTGATGATGAACTAATAAGACGACGCTGTCGCTTTCATCGGGTTTTGATCAAATTCATCCAAATCTGGCAAATTCTGAGGGATTGAGGGCTCGCTTATCTTTGAAACACTTGCCATCTGATTACGACGACGACGACAAGTGCAGGCCTTGGCGTCGCAGGATCACCATGGCTGTCACCTGGGCCTCCGCCCTCAAGATCACTCTTCTGCTTCTTGTTATTGGCGCTGTTGTTGCTGCTTGTTTCACTCTCCCAATCGAAAAGGTTCTTTTTCTTCCTTTACAATCTCGGATTCACTTCTCTCGATTCGGAGATGTTTCTTGGTTGAAATGGGATTGACGCATGCATTTTCGTTGAATTGGTTAGCTGCGCTATGCGCGTGCCTAATTTTTTTCACCACTCAATTCCCCCCCCCCCTGCGGGTTCGTTTTCTAGCGGTGGTTTCCCCCTTTCCTTCCCTAAGTTGAAATGGAATTTAACATCTATCCTTTAAATTTGATGATCCTCTGATGGCTGTGGTGCACTAGCCTGAAAGCTTTCTTCGGTCTTGTTTACTTAGCTTACTGGGATTTCAGCCAACGGATTTTATGTATGAATAACGCGCCCAACGTCAGAAGAGTAGTGTTGGGGAGAAGACAATTGCACTGTATCCAATAAATAAATAAAATTAAGAACGCTCTTAAAATGGCTGATTCCTTATGTTGATAGTTAAGTAATACAGTTGCATAAATTCGCTATGTGATCTTAAAAAAACTAGGACATTCATTAGTTAAATCAATTTTCCAGACGAAAATTCCCATTCTTTTATTTATGCGTATGAACAACAATGCTGCACTGATAAGCATATTCATTATAATTCTACTATCCTTCATTACAAGCACTGCCTTGGGATTTTCATCCCCGAAAAGTTGCAGGAACATTCTGGCTGTGGACTGTTTTTTAATATTTTTTAAGTTTGTTGCAGATGCTGAAGGATTTCTTGGTATGGGTTCATAGTAATCTTGGTCCCTGGGGTCCACTTGTCCTGTAAGTTATTGCAAGCTTTACTTCCTTTATTTCCACTTCGTAAGTATCTTTCTTGGATTCTTACGTTGTCATGATTGTGAAACTTCAACCAATGCATGTTATCACATTGTTGCTATTTGCTACTAAAAGGCAATTGGTAGTATGAAATATTCTGGTCAGAACAAACCCGGTCAAAAGTGCGTTTCTAAAGCTGATGCTTTGTCTCAGCTGAGAAAGATACTAACTGAAGTCTAACGTATTCAACTTTCGGTCATAATGTGAAAACCAAGGTACTTTATGCGGATCATATGGACCAAACTAGCTTTTGAAGCATAACGTTTAATATATTATAATATGTTTATCCAAAATGTCAATTTGAGAATAAATTTTTACCCAGGCCAATGATGAAAGCCTATATGAAATTAAGATCATATAGGGATTTTATGCAATATTAGCTGTATAGGATAGATATAAGTATCCTTGGAAGTTGGAACAGCTATTGGAAATTTGCAAGACTATAACTTTGTTATTTGCTTGGAGTACCATTATTGGATTTTATAAACATTGGGCTATCAAATGGTCAGGAGATCCCAATGTTATGTTAACACTTTAAGAGATTGATGATTTTACTGATTACCAGATTTACTATATAATTCATGTTCTTTTAAATTTTTTTCTTATTCCTGATGCAGTGAAAAAGATTAAATTTACATAAAACAGTTGGCATGTTTAAAGAGCCTTGAGTCTATAATTTGATAGTGGGCTTGAATGCATGAAGTCTTAAACTCAGATTTATCTGGTCATCTTCAGGGCTGTTGCTTACATACCTCTGACTGTCTTGGCAGTTCCAGCTTCTGTACTCACTGTAAGAGGCATTGATACCCTCACAATTTGTAGTAGACATTATTGAATTGCTTGTAGAAATTTTCTGTAGTTGCATGTAATGTTGCTTAGAGTTGTTCCTCAAAAGCATTGCTAGATATTTGCTCTAATAAGCTTTGGTTATTTGTAAATTTCTAGATTGAACTTACCTGGGCCATCTAGGTATATAAGTTCTACAAACTTGATGGCACTGTTATTTCCCCAAAGATTTTGAGGTAGTAGATTTAGACTGAAGGCTGCCATTTTTCTTAACTTGAATGTCTGATGTCTGCCTTTCAAAAGATAGAATAGTGGGGATGAATAATGTGAGATTGAGAACGTATAAACCAAACTGAGAAAATATATTATCTTGTCTTAAATGATTAG